TACATATTCGTAGGACTCATTTCCTCAAACTTAAGAAAAACATAACCAACATTGTCCTTCATTCACTTTGAGTGGCCAGTTGTCATTAATTCTCATTTTTTCGAAGCTAACGACACAGTTCACGCTACAGCTGGTCAGCGTAACATGTAACACATATATTACTACAATAAAATGAGGTCATTGTACTTACGTTCATGTGTAAATGAACTAAAACATCCAGAGGTATGAAGACATAGCCTCTCTCACACAACATTCAAAACATGACTGACCCACCCATGGTCCCGTGAATGGCTTCGAATAGTCCGCATCCGTTTTCCAACCTGCGTTTTATTTCCTGAAGTCGCTGTTGGGAGATTTACAATGATAATTACACATTAAAATAACTACATAACTTACTTAAACAAAACGAGTATAACTTGGTTTATTTTTTGTCTAAAATAAGGTATGTAAATGTGTGTTTTAAGCCTTTATTGAAGCATAGAAATAAGCTGCGCATTGAAGAGTTGTATACATGTGTAAAGCAGTACGCAGGCGCTGAGGAGAGAGTTCTTGTGGCGCCTACTTTAACTTTATAGAAACAGAATATTGTACAACATGCAGTCAGTTAGGACAGGTTAATTGGAAACTTTCCGGCCCTGAGCCTTAGGTCTTAGCTGTTTAAATTGTTAAAGTTATATCCATGACTGATTTCTACTGTAACTTACTGCTAAGCCTTAAATATTAAAATATTACACTGGAAATATGTCACTATCTGACTTTTTGGGGTTATCCTAGACAATTTACACATATGTTAAAACTATGTATAATGATTGCTCTTATGTGTACCTGTACCTAAATAAACTTACTGATAAACCAGGCTGTTGCTTTCGGCCGCACTTCCTTTACGTACATACATACATAATGTCAGAGAACATCTTCGATAACTTTTTTGCCTGACCATTAGTTACGAGTGACAACAGTTGGACAACAGTTGGAGTTGAGAGGGACCTACCCAGTAAGTTTGTTGCTACCAGGGGGGGGGGGGGGCATTCCTTTCCTGTCAAGATTATCTGTGCCTCACCTTTAACAGTATATAAGTCACCATGACTCACGAAATCGTAATGACACGATTGCAAACAAACCATACCATGGACGCGGATTGAACTCGTGGTGAATGAGTCGTAAAACTCCAGCCAGCTGGCCCAGTGGTTCACGCGCTTGCCTGGAGTTTTACGACTCGCTCGGCACGAGTTCAATATCCACCCGTGGTAAAAGATTTCGTTCGGATTTTTAACCCCGGAGGGTTAGCCACCCAGGATAACCCAAGAAAGTCAGTGCGTCATCGAGGACTGTCTAACTTATTTCCATTGGGGTCCTTAATCTTGTCCCCCAGGATCCGACCCACACCAGTCGACTAACACCCAGGTACCTATTTGCTGCTAGGTGAACAGGACAACAGGTGTAAGGAAACGTGTCGAAATGTTTTCCACCCGCCGGGAATCGAACCCGGGCCCTCCGTGTGTGAAGCGGGAGCTTTAGCCACCAGGCCACCGGGCCTGGTGGCCCGGTAGGGTTTATAAGTCACCATTCTATTGCATCAGCTTCACATTGTTGCAGACTATGGAACAGAACTCTTCTCCAGGATGAGGGACTGACCACCTCAAAATTACGTCTTCGATGGTAATGGATTGATTGCATCCGCTTACAATCTCAATGCTCCTGGCCTCCTCTGTATTCGACTTAAGAAGCTCAAAAATACCTAACTGTGTGCACTGTCTTTCTAAATAAATTTGCGTATTATCCATTAATATTGACATACACAGATAACCAGCAGATAGGAGACTGAAACCTTAAGACGATGTTTCGGTGTAATAGCATTAATGTCCATGTCATATGCCAAACAAGTCAAACTTCTAGTATAGGGCCCCTGCTCAGACAAGACGATCCTACACAGACGACAACGAAAAATACGAGATACTGATATCGCAGAAGATTAAGTAAATAAGATAATTTCGTTCGGTATTATTTTACCGGAGGTTAGCCACCCAGATAACCCAGACAGTAGTGCGCATCGAGACGTCTAACTTATTCTGGGTCTTAATATGTCCCCAGGATGCGACCCACACCATCAATAACAACCAGGTACCATTCTGCTAGGTGACAGGACAAAGGTGTAAGGAAACGGACGAATGTTCACCGCGGGAATACGAACCCGCCCCCGTGTGTGAAGCGGAGCTTTAGCCACCAGAGCCACTAACCAGTTTAAAGACAGACAATCCAAACAATTTTTTCATGAATGAGCCTCAAAACCCTGCCAATGTAGGCCAGATTTATGACATAACCCTAACTCCACTGGACTTTGAGAAAGCCATCGACATGCCCATGTACTCAGCCCCAGGCCCAGACTCGTGGAACTCGGTGTTCATTAAAAACTGCAAGAAACCCCTCTCACGGGCCTTAAGTATGCTATGGAGAAGGAGCTTAGACACAGGCGAGATTCCAGTCACTAAAAACAACAGATATAGCCCCACTCCATAAAGGTGGCAGCAAAGCAGTAGCTAAGAACTATAGACCAATAGCTTTAACGTCCCACATCATAAAAATCTTTGAAAGAGTTCTAAGAAGCAGGATAGCAAACCACCTGGACTCCCAAAAATTACATAACCCAGGGCAACATAGTCTCAGAGCAGGTCGCTCCTGCCTTTCGCACTGCTAGACCACTATGATATGGTCCTAGATGAAATGGAGAACAAACAGAATGCAGATGCAGTATACACAGACTTTGCAAAAGCCTTTGACAAGTGCGACCATGGTGTAATAGCACACAAAATGCGTGCTAAAAGGATAACCGGCAAAGTAGGCAGATGGATCTTCAACTTTCTAACCATTCGCACACAAAGAGTAGTGGTAGAATAAAATCAGATGCTGCCATAGTGAAGAGCTCTGTCCCACAAGGCACAGTACTCGCACCTATCCTGTTCCTTATTCTCATATCAGACATAGAGATGTAAAGCACAGCACTGTATCATCTTTTGCAGACGATACTAGGATATGCATGAGAGTGCATCCATTGAGGACACTGCAAAGCTCCAAGAAGATATAAACCAAGTTTTCCAATGGGCAACAGAGAACAATATGATGTTCAATGAAGACAAATTCCAATTACTCCGTTATGGAAAACTGGAGGAAATAATAACTAGGGCTGAGTATACTACAAACTCCAATCACACAATAGAGCGGAAAAGTAATGTGAAGGACCTGGGTGTGGTAATGTCCGAAGACCTCACCTTCAAGGACCACAACAATGCCACTATCACATCCGCTAGGAAACCGATAGGATGGATAATGAGAACATTCAAGACAAGAGATGCTAAGCCAATGATGATCCTTTTTAAATCACTTATTCTCTCTAGGCTGGAATATTGCTGTACATTAACATCCCCATTCAAGGCAGGTGAAACTGCAGAACTAGAAAATGTAGAGAACCTTTACTGCACGTATAAGTTCCTTAATTAGTGGGAGCGCCTGGAAGCACTTGACTTGTACTCACTAGAGCGCAGGCGAGAGAGATATATCATAATCTACACCCGGAAGATTCTGGAGGGACTGGTCCCTAATATGCACACAGCAATCACTCCATACGAAAGCAAAAGACTTGGCAGGCGATGCAACATACCCCCGGTGAAAAGTAGAGGCGTCACTGGTACACTAAGTGAAAACGCAATAAGTGTCCGGGACCCAAGACTGTTCAACAGCCTCCCATCAGCAATAAGGGGCATTACGGGAAGACCCCTGGTTGTCTTCAAGAGGGAGCTGGACAGATACCTAAAGACGGTGCCAGATCAACCGGGCTGTGGTTCGTACGTTGGATTGCGTGCGGCCAGCAGTAACAGCCTCGTTGATCAGGCCCTGATCCACCGGGAGGCCTGGTTCTGGACCGGGCCGCGGGGGCGTTGATCCCCGGAATGCCCTCCAGGTAGACTTCAGGTAGGCATGTTTCCTTACACTTACTGTCCTTGCTCACCTTGCAGTAAGTAGGTACCTGGGTGTTGGCTTGGTTGGCAACGCTCTTGCCTCACATACCCTGTGTCCGTGGTTCGATCCCCGACACGGGAGGAAATGTTGGGCGTGTTTCCTTACACCTGCTGTCCCTATTCACCTGAGTGTTAGACGACTGGTGCGGGTCGTATCCTGTGATACAAAATTGAAGAATCCCAATGGAAATAAAACATAGTCTTGATGACGCACTGACTTTCTTGGGTGGCTAACCCTTCCCCGGGTAAAAAATCCAAAAAAATCTTATCTTTACTACTATGGGTCTCATCCTAGGGTACAAGACTGAAAAACCCAATGGAAATAATATTGCTTAAGACAGACAATCCTTGATAATGCACTGGCTTTCTTAGTATCATGGGTGGCTGGCACTCCCCCGCATTAAAAAAAATCTGAGCAATTCTTAAGTTTCGGTTTCCTATGTGCAGGTTATTTGTATAATGGCCAGAGCAGTCATCAGTTACTGGCCTGGTGGCTAAAGCTCCCGCTTCACACACGGAGGGCCCGGGTTCGATTCCCGGCGGGTGGAAACATTCGACACGTTTCCATACACCTGTTGTCCTGTTCACCTAGCAGCAAATAGGTACCTGGGTGTTAGTCGACTGGTGTGGGTCGCATCCTGGGGGACAAGATTAAGGACCCCAATGGAAATAAGTTAGACAGTCCTCGATGACGCACTGACTTTCTTGGGTTATCCTGGGTGGCTAACCCTCCGGGGTTAAAAATCCGAACGAAATCTTATCTTATCTTACAAGCGACGGATGAAGGTTGTTAGTGGAGTACAAGCGATGGATGCAAGTTGTTAGTGGAGTACAAGCGACGGGAAGGTTGTACTGGAGTATAAGCGACGGGATGAAAGAATGTTAATAGAGTATGTGCGATGGGATAAAGGTTGTAATAAAGAGTAAATGATGGATGAAGGGTGTTCCTGGAGTATAAGCGACGGGATGAAGGTTGTTACTGGAGTATAAGCGACGGGATGAAGGTTGTATGGAGTATAAGTGACGGGATGAAGGTTGTTACTGGAGTATGAGAGATGGGACGAAGCTTGTTACTGGAGTATAAGCGACGGGATGAAGTTTGTACTGGAGTATAAGCGATGGGATAGGAGCGTCAAAACATCCCCCAGCAGCACCCACAACACGAACGTTTCAATCTCCAGTAATACTCATCTCGCCCTAACATCACTGCCATCTTACCCGAGGCTTCACACTACATCACTCCCTCAGACGGTCCCTCTCATTAGCAAGAAGGAAAAGAACGTTGGAAGCTCTGTCTATAGTGAGGGAGAGGAGGTGCAGAGTCCTGGTTTTAAATTGCGTTGCATCTGCATAGGCGAAATTTATCCTCAGTTTGTATGTGATTTCCGATAATGGCAGATCCTGAGGAAGAAATGACCAGTGATCAGGAAAGAGAAGAGAGTATGGAGGGTGTGAGTGATGGTCATGACACCGACTCAGAGGATGAGGGAGAGCAAGATAAGAAGGAGGAAGAACTCAGGCTAAAAGTTAAGGAATTAAAGAAACAGGTAAACTTTTAAGTGGTGCTTCCAAGTTCAACTTCTCCTCTCAAGCTCTCATGGGAGTGTCCCTTTATGCTGGGGAGGGGCTCTTGATCTAGGGAATTGGATCTATTCTCCAGTTCCCTGGATTGAGCCTGAACTCCTTCCATCCTCCACAGGCGCTGTATAATCTACACGAGTTTAGCGCTTCCCATGATAAGCTAGGGAGTGTCACTTGATGCCAGGGAGGGGCTCTTGATATAAGTTGAACCTATACTCCCTCTAATTGGCTCGAACTTTAATGCCTTCCATTCCTCAAGTGCTTTGTAACCACTATGGGTTTAGCACTCTCCATATGAATATATTAATAATAAAAAAACAATGTTGATGAATGAATCTTGTTCCAAGGGATAGAGCCTAACCCCCCCTTTCCTTGGATCAGTTTTGGTTACCTCTCACTTCCCTGGCACTGCATAACCCCTGTGGGTTTAGCACTTCTCCATGAGTATAATAATAATAATAATACAAAACAACAAACAAAAACAAAAGTTTATTTCTTTGCAAAGGTTACAATGTGTATTTACATTTCATAATTTGATTGGTACAAAGGAAGCCACTATCATGCCGGGGCATTTCCAAAGTTCAACACCTTTATTCTTTTGCAGCTGGACGTAAATAACTTATATTATGATGGGCACGTGCAGCTGATAGCAGCATTACGTGACCTTTTTGAGCTAGAAGAGGCAAGAAAAGCTAGACAAAAGATGAGTGAAGTGTACCCTTTAACACCAGGTAAGATAGTAAGTCAGCCTATATAGGTACAGGTACACATTAATACAGGTTCACAAATTAATATACATAGCATATTGTAAATTACCAAGGATAACCCAAAAAAGTAAGTTTATTTATCATACATTGTGTAAATTATCTAAAAAAAAAACAAAAAACTCAAAGTAATTTGTTTACTTTTTTCAGTGGTTGTGTCCAGCAATATACTTGCTTTAATTCATTGCTAATTAAATTATAATTTAATAATTTATATAAATTTTTTTGTGCATATAAAGATTTTATGGACACTATACATTCTGTATTCTTGATCTACACTATACATTCTGTATAGTGTTGATCAAGAATATTTATGCTTAGACTCTGGTGACTAGGTTTATTTATGATGAACTGTATTTTAATACTAGAGTTATGGTTGGACTGGATTCGGGATGAGCAAAAAGTGTGCACATCAAGTGATGAGAGGCTGTATATTGCTGAGTTATTTGATCGAGCCGTAAAAGATTATATGAGTAAGTATATTGTATATCTATCACTTCATTAAACATAAGACATCATTCTATATTCAGTTATTTGTCAGAAGCAGTTATATGTACAATATAGTATGTGTATTATTTAAATTGTGTAATTTAAAATTAAACATGGTATTATGTTCTGCAAAATATACATGAGCTAAATATTCTATTAGGAAAAAGCATCACTTAAAATACAAACTACTGAGTAGAGGCACACTTTTATTTTGCTGTTATTGAAAGGGTAAATTAGTTCTGACATTTGTTTAAAATTTCCTGATGTCAGATCCGAGTATCTTAATTATTAGACAAAAAGAGGTTACTTGTAGTCACTTCTTTAGGTCACTCCCTCTTTTTTAAGAGACCAGATCTTTTAAAAAAAAATTAATATAAATTAAGCTTACTTTTTAAACCTCAAGAGCCATCTCCCACCAAGTCAGGGAAGAAAACATTTGCCATCATTCATTCAATCACTTTCTTGCCAGAAGTATATTGACATCACAATTCAGTTTACCCTCTAGGTGCAACATCCCCACCACTCCAGCAGAAGGCCTTGGTCAGGTGACCCAAAGCGCTAGCTGTGGGCTATTATATGACAAAGACACATATCAGGAAACACTTGTCCTGTTTCCTAACAAACCTTACCTAACCTAACCCACCACTCCTTAAAACTCAAAGCTTATGTTCCCATAATACTGCACAGTACAGTATTTTGAAAGAGATTTGCCAATTTCCTTTCTCTGTCTTAATAATAATATAATATCTTTATTTACTGCAAGCACATGTACATGGTATATAGGCCTAGCTAACATCAATGACATACTACTATATAGGAAGCCCCTTGTGATGCTGAGCATTTCTGGCAAATTAGGTCAGTTTTGTCCCAGGATGCAACCCATGCCAGTCGATTAACAGGTACCCATTTTAAACTGATGGCTGAACGGGGACAGGGACAGCAAGTGTCTTATGGAAGCACATCCCTAATGTTTTCCAGCTGTACCAGAGGAGATTCAAACCCTGGACCTCAGTGTGTGAGCTGAGTGCACTGGTGATCTATTTTAACAGCTATGCCACTGTTATGGCAATTCTTGTTAGACATGTTAGCTGTAGTCCCCTTCATTGATGGGGTTCAGTCAACTTCAAAGAATCATCTATAATAAATAAAAGTCACAATATCTTGGCTGGGGCAATTTCCAACTAACCCTCAAATTGGAAATTCCTAAGTTGACATTTTGGTCCATCCTGAGCTAACATCAAATCACATCTTGATAATGGTCCAAGATTGACTGAAATGTCCAAGTTTATTTTTTTTTTTTTTTTTGTTTGTGAAGAAATTCTTTGTATTCCTTCAGTATCTCTTATTCTTTAGTTTATAGCCATGTCCTCTGGTTCTCTTTGCTGATAGTGTTATGAATTTTTTTTCTCACCTTTTCTTTTGTACTGCAGTCATGCATATAATACAATACAAACCATTTCTTCATAATTTTATTTATCACTGGAAGTCATTATGTAGCTCATCTTTGGACTATTTTGGTCTAATGTAATTTTATTATGAACATCTTTTTAGCATTTACAGTACAGTAGTATATTTCTTTCTGTAGTACAGTACTTTACTCAAATTCTTAAATGGAAAAAATTATATATTGCAAAAGTTGAGAAAATAATGGATTTTTTTTTTTTTACATTTTTATTAAGATTACAGTCATACCAAATGAATTTTCCATTGCAAACTAGGCTTTTTATAATAATTTTTTTTTTTAGTTTATCTCAAGGCATTATCAATGAATATTTAAGTAGGATATAATATTTAGGGTCAGTTTATCTCATCAACATTGAATTCAGTACAGAACATTAATAAATTCTTTTGCTAGTGAATAAGGGTATAATAGCTGAAGCTAGTAAGGATTTATATTGCACACTGTCAAGGGTGAATTGCTGGGACTAAACAGTTAAATTTAGGGAAGACGGTGTTGACAGCATTAGGTTTTAAGAAAAAACAGACAAATGTAGATAATTTGGCATTGATGAGTAAAATACATGGTAAAGTTGGGTAACTATTGTTGAAATGTTCTGCCTACACAGTAGGCTTCTTCAGTCGAATGTAGAGGTGGCTAACAGTATGGAGATAGCAGAAGTACTGGTGAGGTAAAGCAGTTTTTTTGAGGTGGTCAGTCCCTCAGCCTGAAGAAGAGTTAGTCACTTCTGTTTTTGACTGAAGAAGCCTTTTGTGTAGGGGAAACGTCAACAATAAAGTTACCCAACTGTTTCACATCTTACTCATTAACTTGTTCGCATTGTACAGTATACCATTTGCATAATTAATCAGGCATTGGTTGGTAATACAGTGCTGGTATTTCCTTACTAATCCTATTTCCAAGTAATTCCATGTACTCTACTGTATTGGTTGCTTAACTGGTGACACTGGATAACATATGGTCATTCTGAACTTCTGAGCATGATAACATTCATTGAACGTTATTGTGCACTCTTTGAACATACAGTACAGTGGACCCCCGGTTAACGATATTTTTTCACTCCATAAGTATGTTCAGGTGCCAGTACTGACCGAATTTATTCCCATAAGGAATATTGTGAAGTAGATTAGTCCATTTCAGACCCCCAAACATACACGTACAAACGCACTTACATAAATACACTTACATAAATACACTTACATAATTGGTCGCATTCGGAGGTAATCGTTATGCGGGGGTCCACTGTATATGCTTTTATTTGTATGTATGGAAGTATCTAATTCTTACCTTCCTTTACAAGGCGTGCAACTTTGGGTAGAGTACGTAATGTTCACGTTAGGTAGCGGGGACATGGTAGCAACTAGAGCAACTGGAGAACGTGCTCTTACTGCTGTAGGAACTCATGTTGCAGAAGGCGTGTTAATATGGCAAGTTGTACTACTAGTTGAGAAGCAGGTAAGCATATGAATAGTCTTCAGAAATTCTGTAATTGATAAAATTAGGACCAATGTATGTGCAAGAAGCAGATCCCTGCAGGAAGGAACATACTGCATGTAATATGAATATAATATGTGGGTATGTTTATAGTATTTTTAACAGTTAAATTGGTTATAATACACTGTATAATTATGTCCTAGAATTTTAATTAAATTTTGCTGTAAATGTTCTGAGTGTTATATCTGTGATTACTTTCAGTGAAGCAATCATAATACAGTATACAACCAGCATATAATGCATTTCTTGTTAGTCAATGAATAATTGTTTTTAGTGTGGAGGCCAGATAGGACTAGTATGGTTGTGGCTGCATTGGTGTGTACTAAGAATATTTATTAAGATGATGCATTATAAAAAAAATTTCTAATGTAAATATTGTAGGTTATGCTATTCCACACTGACTCTTAATAACAAGGTACAGTGGACCCCCGGTTTACGATATTATTTCATTCCAGAAGTATGTTCAGGTGCCAGTACTGACCGAATTTGTTCCCATAAGGAATATTGTGAATTAGATTAATCCATTTCAGACCCCCAAACATACACATACAAACGCACTTACATAAATACACTTACATAATTGGTCGCATTGGGAGCTGATCGTAAACCGGGGGTCCACTGTATACTATAAATATATAATAATTTTAAGTAAATTGTCCCATACTGGTTTTCAGATATATGCAGGCTTACAAAAGTCAGGTACCATTCAGTCAGAACAGGAAATAAAAGAGCAAGAAAAACAGCTTCATAGAATCCAAGGACTCTTGCGAAGACAGATGAGGGTTCCCTTGCTCAACTGTGATGCCGAGTCACTACTTGAGGAAGCTTCTGAATATTTTGATGGTGAAGTTGACCCTCATATGAAGGAAGATCTCAAGAAAACCCAAAAGAAACTGAATGAGAAAATTCCTTTTGAAGATGATTTGGTAAGGCATTTTCTTAAGACAGTCTGAAGTGTCAAATTTTATATATCTTTAATATAATTATTGTATGCTATGTCTATAAACAGTAAATATTACTGTTGTTACTCATAATAGGCCTCGGTATATATTTTCTTTCTGCATTCTTCTCATCCTTAGCAATGGTTATTGCTTACCTTTGTTATTCCTTCTTTTTATATGCAATAATATCCTCTTTTACATGTCTTAAAATTTAACACTTTAATATTTTAATATTTTTTAATTCTTATCTTTGTAGAACCAAATATAAGGCAAAGACTGCTGAATGATGTAGAGAAACATCACACATGTATGTTGAAACACCTTAAAAACAAGCTTATATGTCCCATTACATAGGGAAAAGGAGGAGATGGAGGACACAGAGGGCCTGCTGGGGCAGTAAGGACAAGTGAGATAAGAGAAGGGTTGTGCTTAGTTGCATGTTGTTGTGTAGCTTGGTTCTATCCAGAAGTATTGGGACAAAACTGCTGTACTATGTATTGGGCAGCACCAGGATGCTCAACACCATGGTATAAATAGAAACTACCTTTTCTTACCTCATTTAACCTCACCATCCATATAGCCTCTTCACTTCTTTTTTTTTTTCCTCTGTGGTATATAAGCTAAATAACAGGATGCAGCCAGGTTAAGGCTGGAGGCACTGCAGATGCCATGTTTGGGTGCAGTGCAATGTGTCAATATCAAGCATAAAATTTGGAGCTTAGAAATTAGAAAATAGAATGAGATTACAGAGAGTTAATTCTGGTGCTGAGAAGAGATTGTTGAGGTGGTTTGGGCATTTAGAGAAGATCAAGCAGAATAGAATGACCAAGAGAGTTTATAAATCTCTGGTGAAAGGAAGGGGGAGGGGGGACAGTGGTCATCCTAGAAAATGTTAGAGGGAGGGGTAAAGGAGGGTTTTGACTGTTAAGGGCTTGAGCAGTAAGCAGGCTTATGTGGACATGATAGATCAGAATGAATAGAGATGAATGTGTTTTATGGCTTAATGTGCTGTTAGGGTGTGAACAAGGAAACATCTGTGAAGGGATTAGAGAAAACTAGGGTCCTGGAGGTGGGAAGTACAGTGCCTGCACTCTAAAGGAGAGGTGGGGATATTTGCTGTTTGGAGGGACATCTGAACTGTCCTATCTACCTGCCTGTGGCAAGTCAGTGATAGTGTGAATGATGGTGAAAGTGTTTCTTTTTCAGGTCACCCTGCCTCAGTGGGAGACATCCATTGTTTAAAAAAAATATTCTAATCAGCAGTAATTGTAATTAGAGAGAAAGAAGCTGTAATAAAGAATGAAAGATTCATTTGTTCCTTGTAAATACCTCCATCACTATGGGACATTCATCCCACCCTGCTCTTACAGTGCACTGAATGAGAATGAGTAATATTTCTGGGAATTGCTTTGATTACTCACATTGTATTCATATTCTCATCTGGGCCACATGCTTTTTTTTCTCTCTACTTGTTGTCTTGGCTTTTTTTGGAACACTATTTTTTGTAAATCATTTCATGTTAGCAGAACATCTAATATAAAACATTTCTGAATGAATATGTAACATATTCATTCAGAAATGTTTTATATTAAAATGTTTTTCTTGAAATATATATGAACTATGAAGATAACTCACTTGAGCATTTATTTGTTTATTAAGTAGCAGAAATTTAGGTTATATTGTTCCTTCAAGGAAAAAAGAGCTGAATTGATAGTGGTAAAAGGTTCTTGATCCAAGGAATTGAAACTACATTTCCCTTGGATCAAACCTTATTATCTTCCATTTTCCACATGCTGTAAGACTTGTACTAGTTTAGCATTTCCACATGATTATTATTATTATGTATTATATTATACTTAGCTGAGAGCTGAAAATGATGTTGACAAACTGGCTGGATATCGACGTTATATTGCACAGACAAAGGAAACTGACAATCCTGCAGCAGTGCAGAGTTTATATGAGAGAGCTGTTACTGACCACTGTCTTGATGTAGGTAAGAAAGATTACTTGTAAAAAGTTATATTGAATTACTCTCACATTCTGTACTGTTTGAATCTAATGTAGTACAGGATGGTTATTACTAGATAGAAATGTATGTAAATGATGTTCTACTTATTTTCCTCACAGGCCTATGGGAAGAATATGTTCGTTTTGTTATGCATCAGTTTCCTGGATTGGACTATGTTGTTTTACCTGTTTGTGAACGCAGCCAGAGGAATTGTCCTTGGTCTGCCACCCTCTGTGACCTCCATATCACAGCTCTGCAGATGTTTGCTTCTAAGGAAGATGAGTCTCTTACAGCTAAAGTAAAAGGTAAATGTTAAATACATTACATAGACTATAGAGCACGTTAACAAGTTTTGTTCCTTTTTTTTTTGACTAACAAAGTTTTTCGTATAGAAAACAGTAGTACAAAACGATGTAATATGAAGATTTCTATTGTAGCTCAGTGTTTGTAAGGCTCAGACACTGCATGACCTCTGTGGGTTTAGCACTTTCCTGTGAATAATATAACTTCTCATGCTGGGAAGGACTTAATATTTAAATTTTGAGAAGCTTTAATAATTAAATGTTAAAAAGGGCTTTAATATTTATTATTAAATATTGAAAAGGATTAATCTAGATGTTGAGGACTTAGAACATAATGTTTAGGTTTTAATTTTGTGTTCAGTAGGAATTAATAATTGAACATTGAGAAGGGTTTAGAAACTAATTGGAAATTGACATGATGCATAACATATGCAGTGACAGATGTAAATAAATTCTATTGGATGATGGTTTATGCAGTCATGGGTTTTCTTAAATTAAGATTTAGATTCGAGAATTAAGATTTAGATTAGGAATATAGTTGATAGTAAGAGAAAAATTAAGTAAGTGTCATGTCAAATTAGGTAAAGAAAAGGGTATACAGTAGCACTTGGCTAGTATTCCGATGCCTTTAATCTTTTAAAGACCAGAATGGGAGTGTTCATGTTCTTTCCTGGGTTATCACAAGTCCTCACAAGCATAAATCAGACATTATTGGTGAGAAGTTTTTGCTGCCAGGGGTAAATGTAAATGGGGAGCCTTTAATTGAGCTATGTGTAGAAAGAGATTTGGTAATAAGTAATACATATTTTATGAAAAAGAGGATAAATAAATATACAAGGTATGATGTAGCACGTAATTAAAGTAGTTTATTAGATTATGGATTGGTGGATAAAAGGTTGATGGGTAGGCTCCAGGATGTACATTTTATAGAGGGGCAACTGATATATCGGATCATTATTTAGTTGTAGCTACAGTTAGAGTAAGAGGTAGATGGGAAAAGAGGAAGGTGGCAACAACAAGTAAGAGGGAGGTGAAAGTGTATAAACTAAGGGAGGAGGAAGTTCGGGTGAGATATAAGCGACTATTGGCAGAAAGGTGGGCTAGTGCAAAGATGAGTAGTGGGGGGGTTGAAGAGGGTTGGAATAGTTTTAAAAATGCAGTATTAGAATGTGGGGCAGAAGTTTGTGGTTATAGGAGGGTGGGGGCAGGAGGAAAGAGGAGTGATTGGTGGAATGATAAAGTAAAGGGTGTGATTAAAAGAGAAAAAGGTAGCTTATGAGAGGTTTTTACAAAGCAGAAGTGTTATAAGAAGAGCAGAGTATGCAGAGTATATGGAGAGTAAAAGAAAGGTAAAGAGAGTGGTGAGAGAGTGCAAAAGGAGAGCAGATGATAGAGTGGGAAAGGCACTGTCAAGAAATTTTAATGAAAATAAGAAAAAATTTTGGAGTGAGTTAAACAAGTTAAGAAAGCCTAGGGAAAGTTAAAAACAGAGTAGGGGAGTTAGTAGATGGGGAGATGGAGGTATTAGGTAGATGACGAGAATATTTTGAGGAACTTTTAAATGTTAAGGAAGAAAGAGAGGCAGTAATTTCATGCACTGGTCAGGGAGGTATACCATCTTTTAGGAGTGAAGAAGAGCAGAATGTAAGTGTGGGGGAGGTACGTGAGGCATTACATAGAATGAAAGGGGGTAAAGCAGCTGGAACTGATGGGATCATGACAGAAATGTTAAAAGCAGGGGGGGATATAGTGTTGGAGTGGTTGGTACTTTTGTTTAATAAATGTATGAAAGAGGGGAAGGTACCTAGGGATTGGCGGAGAGCATGTATAGTCCCTTTATATAAAGGGAAAGGGGACAAAAGAGACTGTAAAAATTATAGAGGAATAAGTTTACTGAGTATACCAGGAAAAGTTTACAGTAGGGTTATAATTGAAAGAATTAGAGGTAAGACAGAATGTAGGATTGCGGATGAGCAAGGAGGTTTCAGAGTGGGTAGGGGATGTGTAGATCAAGTGTTTACATTGAAGCATATATCTTTTCTTCTTTCTTTCAACGTACCAGCCGTATCCCACTGAGGTGGGGTGGCCCAAAAGAAAAAACCAAAGTTTCTCCTTTCAAATTTAGTAATATATACAGGAGAAGGGGTTACTAGCCCCTTGCTCCCGGCATTTTAGTCGCCTCTTACAACACGCATGGCTTATGGAGGAAGAATTCTGTTCCACTTCCCCATGGAGATAAGAGGAAATAAACAAGAACAAGAACTAGAAAGAAAATCGAAGAAAACCCAGAGGGGTATGTATATATACGCTTGTACATGTATGTGTAGTGTGACCTGAGTGTAAGTAGAAGTAGCAAGACGTACCTGAAATTTTGCATGTTCATGAGACAGAAAAAAGGACACCAGCAATCCTACCATCATGTAAAACAATTACAGGCTTTCGTGTTACACTCACTTGGCAGGACGGTAGTACCTCCCTGGGCGGTTGCTGTCTACCAACCTACTACCTAGGTGAAGCATATATGTGAACAGTATTTAGATAAAGGTAGGGAAGTTTTTATTGCATTTATGGATTTAGAAAAGGCATATGATAGAGTGCATAAAGGAGCAATGTGGCAGATGTTGCAAGTATATGGAATAGGTGGTAAGTTATTAAATGCTGTAAAGAGTTTTTGTGAGGATAGTGAGGCTCAGGTTAGGTTAGGGTGTGTAGAAGAGAGGGAGACTACTTCCCGGTAAAAGTAGGTCTTAGACAGGGATGTGTAATGTCACCATGGTTGTTTAATATATTTATAGATGGGGTTGTAAAGGAAGTAAATGCTAGGGTGTTCGGGAGAGGGGTGGGATTAAATTTTGGGGAATCAAATTCAAAATGGGAATTGACACAGTTACTTTTTGCTGATGATACTGTGCTTATGGGAGATTCTAAAGAAAAATTGCAAAGGTTAGTGGATGAGTTTGGGAATGTGTGTAAAGGTAGAAAGTTGAAAGTGAACATAGAAAAGAGTAAGGTGATGAGGGTATCAAATGATTTAGATAAAGAAAAATTGGATATCAAATTGGGGAGGAGGAGTATGGAAGAAGTGAATGTTTTCAGATACTTGGGAGTTGACGTGTCGGCGGATGGATTTATGAAGGATGAGGTTAATCATAGAATTGATGAGGGAAAAAAAGTGAGTGGTGCATTGAGGTATATGTGGAGTCAAAAAACATTATCTATGGAGGCAAAGAAGGGAATGTATGAAAGTATAGTAGTACCAACACTCTTATATGGGTGTGAAGCTTGGGTGGTAAATGCAGCAGCGAGGAGACGGTTGGAGGCAGTGGAGATGTCCTGTTTAAGGGCAATGTGTGGTGTAAATATTATGCAGAAAATTCGGAGTGTGGAAATTAGGAAAAGGTGTGGAGTTAATAAAAGTATTAGTCAGAGGGCAGAAGAGGTGTTGTTGAGGTGGTTTGGTCATTTAGAGAGAATGGATCAAAGTAGAATGACATGGAAAGCATATAAATCTATAGGGGAAGGAAGGCGGGGTAGGGGTCGTCCTCGAAAGGGTTGGAGAGAGGGGTAAAGGAGGTTTTGTGGGCAAGGGCTTGGACTTCCAGCAAGCGTGCGTGAGCATGTTAGATAGGAGTGAATGGAGACGAATGGTACTTGGGACCTGACGATCTGTTGGAGTGTGAGCAGGGTAATATTTAGTGAAGGGATTCAGGGAAACCGGTTATTTTCATATAGTCGGACTTGAGTCCTGGAAATGGGAAGTACAGTGCCTGCACTTTAAAGGAGGGGTTTGGGATATTGGCAGTTTGGAGGGATATGTTGTGTATCTTTATATGTGTATGCTTCTAAACTGTTGTATTCTGAGCACCTCTGCAAAAACAGTGATAATGTGTGAGTGTGGTGAAAGTGTTGAATGATGATGAAAGTATTTTCTTTTTGGGGATTTTCTTTCTTTATGGGTCACCCTGCCTCGGTGGGAGACAGCCGACTTGTTGAAAAAAAAAAAAATAGAATTTGGTTGCAGAAGTTGAGACATAGGTTATCAGAGTAAGTTTTCATCACAAGTCTGGCCTTGATTGTCAGGAGTCTGTTTTTGGTACTAAGTCTAGCAAAAGTATCCAATTATCTATCAATACCTGGAGTTTACCTGGAGAGGGTTTTGGGGGTCAGTGCCCCCGCAGCCCAGTCTGAGACCAGGCCTCAAAATAAGTCAGATATTCTACACACACCTTGAGCTGTTACCCTTTACTATGAACAGTAAGTCAACTTAGCATGGACGTAGGTTGCTTACACTAAACAGCACTCCTACATAAAAAATTATCATGTACCTCATCAACTATTCTAAGAATGTCTGATGTATTAAGGAGGTGGTTCTCACTTCACACATACATATAATGTTTTACTAGAATAAGAGATATGGTAGATTCAGTAACAAACAGAGGCGCCCTAAGTACGGTCAGAAGAGCTAGTGTTTACATAATTATTAGATTTTTTTTCTATTAACACATAGGTCGTTTCCCATCAAGGCAGGATGACCTGAAAAAGAAGAGACGCTTTCATCATCATTGACTCCATCATTGTCTTGCCAGAGGCGTGCTGACACTACAGTTAAAAAACTGCAACATATCAACAGCCCTCCTTCAGAGCACATGCACTGTACTTCCCACCTCCAGGACTCAAGTCCAGCTAACCGGTTTCCCTGAATCCCTTCATAAATGTTACTTTGCTCACACTCCAACAGCACATCAAGTCATACAAACCATTTGACTCCACTTGCTCCTGTCTAACACACTCGTGCACGCTTGCTGGAAGTCCAAGCCCCTGGTACCAGTACCTATAAGTTGACAGAAATATAACCAGAAACTAACAATCTGCTTTTCAGAGGCAAATACCATACTTACATTTGATTTCTAACAGTTATAAGATGAGGTTGTCAGCTACTATATGATAAACCAATTCCTTTGTTTATATTAGTGACTCACATGCTAATGAAAAGTTTATTAATACCAAGTCTTTTTTTTTTTAATATTTAAAAATAGATATTGTTTAAAACAAGTCACAATACATTGAATGGATCAATTTGCATATAACCCCCAATTTTGAGAGGAAACTATAGATGACATTTTGATATGTCATCTGTCAGTTGTGACTTGATAATGGTCAAGGACAGACATAATGTCATTTATATTTTTCTCTCTAAAGTTTGGGCTATTTGAGAATAGGTATCAAAGATCAGATTTTTTATTTTTGCTTCAGGTGCTCTGGAGAAAGGCCTCAGCTGTGGTATTCAGTCTGGACGTGAAGCTACTCGCATGTGGATGGCCTACCTGATATACTTGAGGAGGCAAATTGTATGGGACCAGCCCCATGATTGCCAGCTACTTGCTTTTAGAGAGGCAGGACAGCAAGCTATAAGCATGATTGATGAGTGTAAATATTGCCCAAGCTAAGGTTTTTTAATCATACCCTTTAACTTTGTTTATGGCATAACCAGTTATTCAGTAGGATAATTTATATATTAAAGTATCAAGTTTTACAGTGATTATGTATGAGTGAGGTGACAGTGTTGAATGATGATGAAAGTATTTTCTTTTTGGGGATTTTCTTTCTTTTTGGGTCACCCTGCCTAGGTGGGAGACGGCTGACTTGTTAAAAAAAAAAATCAAGTTTTAATTATTTTGGTCTCAGTAGGTGGAGTTAAAACAGTGGTATGATTCACAAGAGCAAGTACTTGAGGGTGGTTTCATGGTAATGGAGGTGGTATTTTGTTCATGAAGATAAATAAAAATCTATTTTGTGATGCAGACCCTGGTCCATTTGACTACTAAAGCTGGTGTAATGGTCCATCCCATAAAAAATGAATATCACACCATATGATGTGATAGGTCCTCCACTCCACAGAATTAAAGGATCACTGCACAATAGTAGGAAAGTGGTGTATAAAGAATTTAAATATTGGGGAGAGAAAAATAAAAATTTGGCATGTTTTGTGAAGAGATAATAAAACAAGAAATAATAAAATTAATAGATACAGAAAAGTCTAAATATTCAAGAACTTAGGTAATTTTTAATTATATACTGCACAATGAGGAAAGGATAGGGATTGAGTATAGTACAGTACTTTTATTCTCAAGATATTTGTTGCTGTTTTGGTGGATTGACATGTTGCTGTAAAACAGGATGCATGTTATAGTTTGTAGATGAATATTTTCTTTTTCTTTTCTCTCTTAGATTTTGGTGAAGATGGAGACATTGAAAGTGAAATACCTCGCTTCTTAGCTCGGATTGAAGCAGAATGTGCTCATGATGCTGAAAGAGCAAGAGAAATTTGGAATGACATTATTATGAAACGAAACAACAACTTTAAGAATGCAAAGTTATGGTTGGAATTTATCAGCTTAGAGAGGTAGTAAGCATTTTGTATAATTATACATTTTCTTTGTTATTCTGTGTGTTTGTGGGAAGAAATCACTTTAAAATGTAGTACTGCAGGAGGGCTGAAGCCTCCATAATCTCCATCAGACCTTCCAAACCTTCCCAAATAATAATGATGAAGATAATAATACCTAGGTAGTAGGTTGGTAGACGGCAACCACCCAGGGAGGTACTACCATCCTGCCAAGTGAGTGTGAAATGCAAGCCTGTAATTGTTTTACATGATGGTAGGATTTCTGGTGTCTTTTTTCTGTCTTGTAAACATGCAAGATTTCAGGTACATCTTGCTACTTCTACTTACACTTAGGTCACACTACACATACATGTACAAGCATATGTGTACACCCCTCTGGGTTTTCTTCTATTTTCTTACTAGTTCTTGTTCTTGTTTATTTCCTCTTATCTCCATGGGGAAGTGGAACAGAATTCTTCCTCCATAAGCCATGCGTGTTGTAAGAGGCGACTAAAATGTCGGGAGCAAGGGGCTAGTAACCCCTTCTCCTGTATAAATTACTAAATTTAAAAGGAGAAACTTTCATTTTTCTTTTTGAGCCACCCTGCCTTGGTGGGATAAAGCCGGTTTGTTGAAAAAAAAAAAATAATAATCTTAGGTAGTAGGTTGGTAGACAGCAACCACCCAGGGAGGTACTACCATCCTGCCAAGTGAGTGTGAAATGCAAGCCTGTAATTGTTTTACATGATGGTAGGATTGCTGGTGTTTTTTTTCTGTCTCATAAACATGCAAGATTTCAGGTATGTCTTGTTACTTCCACTTACGCTTAGGCTACACTACATGTACATGTCTTCTTTCTTTCTTTCAACACACCGGCCGTATCCCACTGAGGCGGGGTGGCCCAAAAGGAGAAACGAAAGTTTCTCCTTGTACATTTAGTAATATATACAGGAGAAGGGGTTACTAGCCCCTTGCTCCCGGCATTTTAGTCGCCTCTTACAACACGAATGGCTTATGGAGGAAGAATTCTGTTCCACTTCCCCATGAAGATGTACATGTACAAGCATATATAAATACACACACCCCTCTGGGTTTTCTATTTTCTTACTAGTTCTTGTTTTTATTTCCTCTAATCTCCATGGGTGAGTGGAACAGAATTCTTCCTCCATAAGCCATGCATGTCTTAAGAGGCAACTAATATGCTAAGCGCAAGGGGCTGAGTAACCCCTTCTTATGTATACATTAGTAAAGTTAAAAAGAGAAAATTAGGAAAAGGTGTGGAGTTAATAAAAGTATTAGTCAGAGGGCAGAAGAGGGGTTGTTGAGGTGGTTTGGTCATTTAGAGAGAATGGATCAAAGTAGAATGACATGGAAAGCATATAAATCTATAGGGGAAGGAAGGCGGGGTAGGGGCCGTCCTCGAAAGAGTTGGAGAGAGGGGGTAAAGGAGGTTTTGTGGGCGAGGGGCTTGGGCTTCCAGCAAGCGTGCGTGAGCGTGTTAGATAGGAGTGAATGGAGACGAATGGTACTTGGGACCTGACGATCTGTTGGAGTGTGAGCAGGGTAATATTTAGTGAAGGGATTCAGGGAAACCGGTTATTTTCATATGGTCGGACTTGAGTCCTGGAAATGGGAAGTACAATGCCTGCACTTTAAAGGAGGGGTTTGGGATATTGGCAGTCTGGAGGGATATGTTGTGTATCTTTATACGTATATGCTTCTAAACTGTTGTATTCTGAGCACCTCTGCAAAAACAGTGATAATGTGTAAGTGTGGTGAAAGTGTTGAATGATGATGAAAGTATTTTCTTTTCTGGGATTTTCTTTCTTTTTTGGGTCACCCTGCCTCGGTGGGAGACGGCCGACTTGAAAAAAAAAAAAAAAACTTCTAAACTGTTGTATTCTGGGCACCTCTGCAAAAACAGTGATTATGTGTTGAGTGAGGTAAAAGTGTTGAATGATGATGAAAGTATTTTCTTTCTCTTTGGGTTACCCTGCCTCGGTGGGAGACAGCCGACTTGTTGAAAAAAAAAAAATTGTCCTCAGACATGACATCACTGCTTCCAGCCTCCTCCTCGCTGTGACACTCACCACCCATGTTTCACACTCGTATAAGAGTGTTGGTACCACTAAGCTCTCATACATTTCCCTTTTTGCCTCCATGGATAACGTTCTTTGTCTCCTCAGATGCCTCAGTGCACCACCCACCTTGTTCCCCTCATCATTTCTATGGTTCATAAGTAAGATAGGTGTGCAACAGTTAGGTATCTTTATTCTGAAATGTTTTGCCTACACAGTAGGCTTATTCAGTCAAATACAGAGGAGGCAGCAGAAACAGTGGAGATGTAAAGTTGATGTAATCAATCCATCACCCTCAAAGACATAGTTTTGAGGTAGCCAGTCCCTCAGCCTGAAGAAGAGCTCTGCTCCACAGTCTGGATTGTTCCCGACAGTGAGGGTGAGAAGGGCAGTGCCTGCACTCTGAAGGAAGGCTATGGATGTTGCAGTTGGAAGGTAATCTGAATTGTGATGTCAGGACACTAATGAGAGGAAAGCAATTGAATGAATGATTGTGAACATGTTTTCTTCTTTCGGTCACCCTTTCTTGGTGGAAGATGGCTGTTGAGATAAAACAAAAAAAAAGAAATGATATTTACTTTCTAAAGATACATATTTATACTGTAATGTTAGATTAAATTTTTTTTGGACAATTTAGTACACAATAATGATGATTATATGAAAGTAATAAAATATAATAATTATAGTCTTTAGTTTGAAGAACTAGATTTGAATTTACTTAAGAAGTGATAACATGATGTGTAATATGAATTAAACTTGGACCAGGGTTTGCGAACAGTTGAGAAGAGAGAATAAAATGTGTGACATTATTAAAGTATGATTTTTGACTACTAGATATTACAGAAAAAAAATAGAAATACAGCCTCTTCTCACTTAATGAATTCATCGCTAAGTGAGGAGCATACTGTAATGGTAGTGAGTATGTGTCAACCATCTTTGATTTTATTTTAATGTCACCTTTGCACCATTTATAACATTTCTGATATATTTTTAAATGTTTATACAGTAGTATACTATATATTGTAATAAACAGAATAGAAGAAATAAGCTCTTATATACATTATTTAGGTATGCATACTGGTCAGAGAGCCCATTGTAAGCTCAAGTTGTTGGTAAACAAGTACGTCGGTAAGTGAGGAGAAGCTGTACTTAATGTTTCAAGTATGCACTGTTCAGGATCTTGTGTTTAAAACTAATCATGTGAAAGAAAAGTAATCACTTGCAGTAATGATAATCTCTGCCCATTTAATACAATCTTGCAGATACAGGTATTGATACATTTACCAGTAAATATAACCACTTTGAAGGAGGGGTTTGGGATATTGGCAGTTTGGAGGGACATCTAAATTGTCGTATCTGAGCGCTTTTGCAAAGTCAGTGATTATGTATGAGTGATGGTGAAAATGCTGAATGATGAAAGTTTTTTTTCTCTCTTTTTGGGTTTTTCTTTCCTTTTGGATCACCCTACCTCAGTGGGAAATGGCTGACGTGTTAAAAAAATGTACATCTTTCTTCTTTCAACAAACCGGCCATATCCCACCAAAGCAGAGTGGCCGAAAAAGAAAAAGTTTCTCTTTTTAACTTTAGTAATGTATACAGGATAAGGGGTTACTAGCCCCTTGCTCCTGAAAAATATATATATAACCACTAAATGTTTTTGTATTCTTTAGGAGTTATGGGTCAGAGAAACATTGTCGTAAGCTTTTCCGTCGTGCTCTGGAGAGAGTTTGGGATTGGGTGGAAGAAATAGGTTCTGCCTACCTTCGCTTTGAGCAAGATGTTGGAACACTAGAATCAATGGAGGACTTCAAGAAGAGATATGAAGACAGGTAAATTCAATAATTTAACTATATACAGTACTCTATGTATAATCTTTTGAAAAGTTTACTAAACATTCATCTCTGACTTCTAGAGCACAAGAGAAGTGTTTGCCTTGCTGATACTAATAATGTTTTCTCCATAACAATCCCATATGTTGATCTGCCAATACTGTTTTAACTTCTTTTAGCCTTCACGGACTCTGTCTTGTTGAGTCATCCATAATGCACAATATTTCTTAAACGAATCTTAATTCCATTTATATTTTGATTTGTGAATTTCCAGTTATATTTTTGATTTGTGAATTTCCAGTTATATTTTTGATTTGTTAATTTCCAGTTATATTTTTGATTTGTTAGCTTCCAGTTATATTTTTGATTTGTGAATTTATTGTCAGATGTTCTAATTATCAGAAAACATATGGCACTGGGTGTCTTATTTCTCCTGGCCTTGACTGTTTCCTCACCTCTACACTTGACTTATATTTTAGCTTTCTCCTTATTTCTCTCTCATTTATGATTCTATAGTGATCCAGGGCAAGCTGAAGCATAATTAAAAATCCCCTTTCCAAAATGTGTAGGCTCTCTTATGCATTTCTGCTACCATTCTTGAAGAACAGAGGTGCTATTTGCAGATTTAAAGTCTTAAGGCACCCTCCTTTTATTGAGGTATATTGTGAATAGCACCTAGTCATAGTGATTTGCATAATGCATCAGTTAAGTAAATTTGGATTGTATGCTACCCACCCATGGTTCTTTTAATTTTAAATTTGTGGTATTCCTTTTAAATATTTCATGTGTGGCTGGTACATCCTTCAAGTCCTTTTCATTTTGTGTATTGACTTCCTCTTGGGAGCTTGTATACCTTTGAAATTAAATTTTGTAATCACTAATGCAAATACAAATGTAAGGTGTTTGCTGCTTTTTCTGTTCATTCTAACTTGGAAATTTTCATTTTTTGAAGACTTAACTGTCTTCTGTCTTCATATCATTTCTGGTAGGTTTTGATCATTGTAATATAATTGTGCTTGCCTACTCTTAAATACATATCTAGTAATAATAATAATTATAATAATAATAATAATAATAATATAATTTCTCCATGGGGAAGTGGAACAGAATTCTTCCTCCATAAGCCATATGTGTCATAAGAGGTGACTGAAATGCCGGGAGCAAGGGGCTAATAACCCCTTCTCCTGTATACATTACTAAAGTTAAAAAGAAAGAAACTTTCGTTTTTCTTGTTTAGGTCACCCTGCTTCAGTGGGATATGGCCGATTTCATGAAAGAAAAACCATAATACAGTGGACCCCCGCATAGCGAACGCCTTGCATAGCGAACATTCCGCATAGCGAACGCTTTGTCCGCTAAAATTTTGCCCCGCATAGTAGACAAAAACCCGCTCAGCGAACTTCGTTCGAGACGCGTCCAATGTGGGCCCTCAGCCAGCCTCACATGTGCCGCCCATCCCATTGTTTACCAGCTAGCCTCCGCGGTAACATTCAAGCATACACTCGGAATATTTCGTATTATTACAGTGTTTTCGGTGCTGTTTGTGGAAAATAAGTGACCATGGGCCCCAAGAAAGCTTCTAGTGCCAACCCTACACCTCAAAGGGTAAGAATACCCATTGAAATTAAGAAAGAAATCATTGATAAGTATGAAAGTGGAGTACGTATCACCGACCTGGTCAGGTTGTACAAGAAACCAAAATCAACCATCGCTTCTATTGTGGGCAAGAAAACGGCAATCAAGGAAGCTGTTGTTGCCAAAGGTTTAACTGTGTTTTCGAAACAAAGATCGCAAGTGATGGAAGATGTTGAGAGACTCTTATTGGTGTGGATAAATGAAAAACAGCTAGCAGGAGATAGCGTCTCTCAAGCGATCATATGTGAAAAGGCTAGGAAGTTGCATGACGATTTAATTAAAAAAATGCCTGCAACTAGTGATGATGTGAGTGAATTTAAGGCCAGCAAAGGTTGGTTTGAGAGATTTAAGAAGCGTAGTGGCATCCATAGTGTGATACGGCATGGTGAGGCTGCCAGTTCGGACCACAAAGCGGCTGAAAAATATGTGCATGAATTCAAGGAGTACATAGAAACTGAAGGACTGGAACCTGAACAAGTGTTTAATTGTGATGAAACAGGCCTGTTCTGGAAGAAAATGCCAAGCAGGACCTACATTACTCAGGAGGAAAAGGCACTCCCAGGACATAAGCCTATGAAAGACAGGCTTACTCTTCTCATGTGTGCCAATGCTACTGGTGATTGCAAAGTTAAGCCTTTATTAGTGTATCACTCTGAAACTCCCAGAGCGTTCAGGCAAAAGAATGTCCTCAAGGATAATTTGTGTGTGCTGTGGAGGGCAAACAGTAAGGCATGGGTCACTAGGGAATTTTTCTATAACTGGTTACACCATGCATTTGCCCCCAATGTGAAAGATTACCTAACTGAAAAGAAATTAGACCTTAAGTGCCTCCTGGTGTTAGACAATGCCCCTGGTCATCCTACAGACGTGGCAGAGCGACTTTATGGGGACATGAGCTTCATTAAAGGTGAAGTTTTTGCCTCCTAATACCACTCCTCTCCTGCAGCCCATGGACCAGCAGGTCATTTCCAACTTCAAGAAACTGTACACAAAAGCTCTGTTTCAAAAGTGCTTTGAAGTGACCACAGACACTGGATTGACTCTAAAAGAGTTTTGGAAGGATCACTTTAATATCCTCAGTTGTGTAAACCTTATAGGTAAGGCTTGGGAGGGAGTGACTAAGAGAACCTTGAACTCTGCTTGGAAGAAACTGTGGCCAGAATGTGTAGACAAAAGGGATTTTGAAGGGTTTGAGGCTAACCCTGAGAGGAGTAGTATACCAGTTGAGGAATCAATTGTGGAATTGGGGAAGTCCTTGGGGTTGGAGGTTAGTGGGAGAGATGTGGAAGAGTTGGTGGAGGAGGACAATGAAGAACTAACCACTGATGAGCTGATAGATCAACTTCAAGAGCAAGAGGCCAGACCTGGGGAAACTGGTTCAGAGGAGGGGAGAGAGAAATTGAAGGAATTGCCTACTTCAAAGATTAAGGAAATGTGTGCAAAATGGCTTGAAGTGCAAACCTTTTTTGATGAAAATCACCCTCACACAGCTATTGCAAGCCGTGCTGGTGACTATTACAATGACACTGTTGTGAAACACTTTAGGAAAGTCATAAAGGAACGAGAGGTACAGGCCACTATGGACAGATATGTTGTGCGAAAGAAGTCCAGTGACTCTGAAGCTGGTCCTAGTGGCATTAAAAGAAGAAGGGAAGTAACCCCAGAAAAGGACTTGCTACCTCAAGTCCTAATGGAAGGGGATTCCCCTTCTAAACACTAACACTCTCTCTCCCCTCCTCCCATCCCATCAATCATCACCAGATCTTCAATAAAAGTAAGTGTCATGTAATTGTGCATGCCTTTTTCAGTTTGTGTGTACTAAAATTAACATTTTTTTGTGGTAAAAAATTTTTTTTTCATACTTTTGGGTGTCTTGCACGGATTAATTTTATTTCCATTATTTCTTATGGGGAAAATTAATTCGCATAGCGAACATTTCGCATAACGACCAGCCCTCTTGCACGGATTAAGTTCGCTATGCGGGGGTCCACTGTATCTTTATTTCTACAAATACATGTACAAGGTATACAGGCCTAGCTGACATCATTGATATACGGTGGACTTTCGGTTATCAGCCGTTCAGCTTATCGGCCAACTCGGTTATCGGCCGGTTTTTCGGCTTCCAGTAATCGGTCGTTATTTTGCTTATTGGCCGTATGGGACACATCAGCCCACTGCTGCCATGGCTGCTGGCCGCTTGTGTGTCAATCTGGCTGTGTCTCTGGGCGAATGAGGAAGTTTCTGCTCATTCATCCAAACATTTCGCTATAATCCATTGTTTTTGGTGGTTATTTATTAAGTGCAACTGCGAAATAAGTGACCATGGCCCCAAAGAAAGTTCCTAGTAGAATTCTTTTGGTAAAGAAAGTGAGAAACATGATGGAATTTAAGAAAGAAATTGTAGCAGAGTACCAGAGTGGTCGTGGTAGAGGGCAGTAGTGATAGTGGTAGAGGGTGGTAGTGATGTTGGTAGAGGGTGGTAGTGGTTGCAATGGTGGTAGAGGGTGGTTGTGATGGTGGTAGAGGGTGGTAGTCATGATGGTAGAGGGTGGTAGTGATGATGGTAGAGGGTGGTAGTGGTTGTGATGGGGGTAGAGGGCCAACTTGTTGAAAAAAAAAAAAATTGCTCATCAACACATTCACGAACGCTACAGTACAGTATTATTTTATTTCCCTACATCATATTTGTGCACCAAACATTCGTGAATTTTCAAGATTCATGAAGTTCTTGATCCTCTAACCCTCATGAATGTGGGGGGCCTCCTGTAGTGTATAAGTAAAGGATTATTCTGCACATAGTTTTGCTATACTTGTTAGCAAGTTTTCCTCTCAAAGAGTTTCTAAACTAAGCTGTGATAACAGTAAATGCAGCAGAAGTAAAGTAAAAAGTGGAAGCAGGCTCACTATCTTCAGATTCAGCTCTTCAAAAGAATATTGCATCACCATTTTCTAGTGCTTTGTAATAGGCAGAAGATTGCAGTCACTGATATACTTGTGGCCTGAGGCCAGACTTTTTGATTGCCTGATCAATGAGGCTGTAGCTGTCAGTGGCTTGCAGGTCTCCTTAGCCATCACAGCCTGGCTGATACGGTGCAACATGTAGCACATTTCATGATGGAAGTGGTTCACACACATTTGTTCCACAAGGTCAGGGATTCTTTTATTTTTTAATGACTGAAGCATTACAGAAAAATCATGTAACAACCTTTGGTTACTGTGAAACCTTACAGAATAAATTTGTGGTCCATCAGGCCCTAATCTTTAAAAAATACTGTGCCAAAGAAGTGACTACAAATTCCTGTTCACCATACAGTACTACAGAGCAGGGCTTCATCACCAGATATCAAATGTGTACCAGTTTATAC